GGAAAGAGTTACTGAATATTCTTGCTTTACAGAAGATATTGTTGCAAAGCTTATATTTGTGTGGTTCTAACTGCGTTAAGTAATCTTTTTTTAATATATATACTGGCTTTGTGTCCGTTTGGATGTGTAAAATTAGTATAGAAGTTCTCCTGTGAAAGGAGTGACTGAAATCTTTCCCAGGAAAAAGGAAGAGAAGAAAAAGTGTAGCTTTTTGAGAAAGGAGAAAGAACAGTTTTTCTCATCATCTTAAAAAAATGTAGTGGTCCACTCAGAGGTGGATCTGGTCGTCTGCTAAGTTCCGGAAGCAAAACTTCTGTAAAGCACTCCTGATTTGAAGGCAAGAGTTGAAGCAGGCTGAGATCATTTAATTATTTATACAGTTTGTATGGGGAAAGCAGCGCTTCTGCTTTTAGCACTGTCAGCTAGTGGGTACAGCCAAAGTCCCAACTGGAAGTGGCAATCGTCAGCCTGGCGCTGTGCCTGAAGTAGTGAGCTTTGCGGGAAGGCAGGACGTGCGTTAGCTGGGCCGAGCGCCACACTGCCATGGCTGCTCGGCTTTCATCTCGGAGCTGACTCGTCTTCCTCCAACACGTGTGGTAGAACCAGTCGTGCGCTTTTCCATAACGACTCCCTAGCGGGGTGCTGTAGCCATTCTAAAGCTCTAGATACGTGTGTTGACACTCCAGCCTTGAATGTCCTGTCTGTCCAGACGAGTGGACGAGGTGGACAGGAGCGTCTGATGCTAGGCACTGTGTCACTTTAACAAGGACTGTGCTCTGTGTTTCCAGGATGCTCAACGTGGCCTCACTTCCCTTTCCCCCGCTGTGTATTGGTTGGTGTCATTTCAGGTCCTTTCAGTAACCAGGAGATGGCAGAGTGGTTCCAGGCTGGGTACTTCACCATGTCGCTGTTGGTTAAAAGAGCCTGTGATGAGACCTTCCAGCCTCTGGGAGACATCATGAAAATGTGGGGCAGGGTTCCCTTCACTCCAGGTCCAGCACCGCTTCCACATCTGGTAATTATATGACAGTTGCAATATTCAAATAGTTCTGGAACAAATGGAAATCCAGTTATTTACTTGTCAAGTTCTTTGTCTTGGAATTGCAGGTGTTCCAAGCACCAAAGTTGAACTCGATGTTAAATACCTTTTTAAGAGGAGAGAATTTTTAAATACTTTCTTTTGCCATGTGTCTTGGTTTAAGCTAAAACAGAAGCAACGCTGTTCAGTGATTGTGAAAGACTTGGTCCTGTGATACATATAAGTGTTTCACAGTCGCCATACTAAAGGCGTTGCCAATGCTGATCTCTGTCTAGGTGTTTTACTATTTTGTCTTTTCAGTTCAGAGTGCAACTTTTACACTGCTTGCATTTGCAATGTACCACTCTTATATGTGTTATTAAAATAGAATGTTTTATTCCTAAACACAGGGCGAGCTGGACCAAGAGCGGCTGACTAGACAACAGGAGTTGGCCCTGATCCAAATGCAGCACCTCCAGTATCAGCACCTTTTAATACAGTAAGATTGCTTGTCCCAGAGATCTTCCAGTGGCTATGTTCTGCTCTGCATTTTTAATCATCTGGGTTCAGCTGCTTGTCTTTTTTTTTTTTTTTTCCCCATTGGGCAATGGGACTGGGAGTGCTTCGCCTCTAACAGCAGTAACCTGTTTCTACAAACGCCAGCGACTCAGAACTTGACGTAGTGGGGGAAGAAACTGAGTTGTGTAGGTGGGCAGTCATCAAAGCCAGGTTAATTAGGGTAATCCGCATGTGATTTATAGAAAAAGGGAAGTAGTACTGCACAACTTGCAATAGAGACAGCAATAACTGTTTAACATAGTTGAAGGTTAAGAGAAATCTGATTCTGCTGAGGTGGACCAATTTGTTGTATTTTTGATTCTTCCCAAGGCCCCGTTTGGTGGTTTCCTCTGGTGTTTAGCACATGCATTATATAGCTCAGTGGGCATTAGTCCCAGAGAATGAGTCTCTGTGGAACTTCAGCAACTTGGGCATTATATAAATAAGCAAGTGAACAAATACGAATGATTCTCTGCTTTTCTTTTGAAGACAACAGTATGCACAGGTGCTGGCTCAGCAGCAAAAGGCAGCCCTCTCATCCCAGCAGCAGCAGCAGCTTGCTATTCTCTTGCAACAGTTCCAGGCCCTGAAGATGAGGTGAGTTAGCCCAGAATTGAACGGAATACCATCCTTCCTGTACTCTAACTTGGATATAGTGATAATTATAATCTTGTCAGTGGTCAGTTCTATTCAAGTTTGCTCATGTTGGAGCATTGCATATTTTAAAGATTGTATGAATATGTAACAGTTGCTGGATGTCAAATAGTGCTTTGTATATGTAGCCTTTGCCTCAGAGAATGCTTATGAAAAAAGGAGGAAAAATCATATATTTGAAACAACCTTTTTGACAGTTCTGTTGTATTGGTAACGTAATGGCTTTGCCGGTTGAGGTCTGCAGTACTAGATCCTTGTTCGGCAAACTAGCCTATAAGCAGCAGATGCAAAACTGTAGCAGTAGCTGGCTTAGCCCTTGGCTTGGCAGCAGGGGTGAGATGAGCGAGAACCCTGTGAACAGCTGGTGCTGCCCCCATCACCTTTTTGTTTTAAATAGAGGTGTGGAAGGGAAGGAGTATGTTACAAGTTAGTGACTCTCATGCGTGTGCAGAGCACTCCTCTCCCTGGAAGTGGCATGTTGACTCTTCCTGTTGGTATTGCAGAATATCAGAACAGAACATGATGCCACCTGTTACAAGGTCTGTGTCAGTGCCGGACACTGGCTCAATATGGGAACTTCAGTCAGCTTCACAGCCTACAGGTAAGATGCTTAGCACGTGTCAGATCTATTAGGACAAGTTCATGGAGTAAGAGCCAGCATTGTTGAGGTGATCACTCCCTTTTTGATACTTGGGGAAATGATTTTTAACTGATTCAGGCTACTTTGCCTTGCAGTTTAAATTCAGTGTGAGAACAGTGAAGAACATAGTAATTTTCCTGAATGATTATGGAAAGCCTTGATCCAAAGGGAGTGAGTGTTGTGTTTTATAAAGGTGTTCTGCTCTGAAGGGAGGTGTTTGAATAGCTGATTCTCGTGTAGAATGTTGTAGGAAAGCCGTTCTTACTTCAGTAATGGACAGGCCTTGTTCTACAGGAAGATGAGGTGGCCCTCTGCTGACTAAGGCTAACATGTTGTCATGATTTTAGTTCATAAAACACAGTAACAGTGTACCCAAGTCTTTCCCCTTTCAGTTGATTTTTTGTTGATGTGCTTATTTTTGCTTGTCAATGTTTTTCTTCACTATCTAGTCTGGGAAGGAAGCAGTGTCTGGGATCTCCCCATTGATACTGCAGCTCAGGGACCAGCTCTAGAACAACTTCAGCAGCTCGAGAAGGCCAAAGCTGCAAAGGTCAGAAACTGTTTTGTACTGTAAGAAGTTGGGATTGCTGTTCTGCAATGTAACTGTGTTTCTTGAGCCAACAGAAGACTATTAGCTCTTCAATCCTCAGGCTGCTCTGTACAGTTCTGATTAGATTTTAATGAACAATACCATAAAGAGAATAGGGGTTATTGAAACCAGTTATAAAATCCTTGTGAACTGCTGTTTGGAAACTTGCTGTGGGATACTACTGATCTCTAAAATTGTGGTTATGTTTTTTACACTTGAATTAAAAACTTGTCACTAGCCACCTCTGTGTTAAAATAGGATCATCATCAGCTGTTATGCCAGTAGGAGCAGGTGGTCATTCTCTTAATCCTTGCATCTTTTCACCAGAATTGGTCTGGGGAATTGTAAGAGTCCTGTTTATCGGGGTTGTTCCACACTTACTCTAATATTTAATTATTTTTGCCAGTTTGAACCTGTTTGATTCTGTCCATTTCCTGAAACTGATTATTTTATGATGACTGCAAAGCAACTCACTCCTAGCTTTAAAGTCAGAGGTTATTTTAAGGAGCTGTTTTAGAAAGACTGACTAGGGCACTGGCGTTCGTTACAGAACAGAAATTGTTCTAGACATAGGAATCTGACCCCAGCAGGCAGCCAGCTGATAGGTAAAATTACCATTAAGGGAGAGCATCCGTCAGAGGCTTCATCCTTTGTGTTGTTACTGTAATCTCAGCACAGTTGCCCTAAGAAGTGGTGTAGGAATACGTTACCTGCATCTGAGTATAGTTTTATGTGAATTGTAGCTAGAGCAAGAGAGGAGAGAAGTGGAAATGAGGGCCAAACGAGAGGAAGAGGAGAGGAAAAGGCAGGAGGAGCTTCGGAGGCAACAAGAAGAGCTACTTAGGAGGCAGCAGGAAGATGAGAGGAAACGACGGGAAGAAGAAGAACTGGCCCGCAGGAAGCAAGTGAGTTTCCTCAATGTAGTTAATCTCTAATTAATTTTAATCCTTTATAAAACTCACTTTAAGAAACCTGTGGGGTCTAATTAATCTCTGGTAGGTGTCAACGAAGACAGTTCTAATATTTTTCATGTGAGTATATGAAATGATTCTTCTTCTGTTCTTGATTTTAAGAGCCCAAACTGCAGTCTGCAAAATGGGCTTTGATGGTCCACGTCAAGCTAGGTTCCTTTTTGTGAGCTGAGAGGCTTTAATTCCATGTGGAATATTCCCTCACAACTTCATAGGATCAATATTAGACTTTAGTTAGTTGTCCGGATTTTCTAAGTTTAATCTTTATTCACTGTTTATGCAATCTAGGTTCTTGATAAGGATTTGTTCTGGAGTAGACCGGAGCTTGAGCAGCTGTTGCAAATAAATAAAATGCAGAGGGCTATAGTGGGGGGAAAAAAGTGATATAACAGCTTCTTTTCCCCTGTTTTTATAAACTTAGTAAATATCCTTTTAAAATAAATCATCTGGATTATGTTATAGAGTCTTTAAGTTTTGTTTTCTTGAGTTCATACTTGGGAAAGGAAAAGATGTAGTTTGGACAAGCAGATTTGTTAAAACTAGTTATATGATGTGTTTTACAGTAGGAGAACAAATGTAGAAGTTTTATGTTCTTAATAGTACAAGAACAGGAAACGGAGACATTATTAGCTTGATGTTTCTAACATTTACTTCTGAATTCTCTATGGAAGAGAGAGATAGTTGTTCCTTCAGTGTCACAGGAAGGAAAGACAGTGAAAGTTTTGTTTTCACTCTGTATATGAAGGATAAGCGAAAGCACATCGTTCAGCCTGTTCACGAAGGAGTTAGTCAATAAATTCCCTCTGAAGTAGCACATGAATAATAGGTGAAAGTAGTAAATAGTTTTGTCCTTTGTAATATTTTTCTGTGTGCTTAGGTAGGCAGTTGTGAAGTAAGTTTCTTGATTTAAGGAAGAGACACTTCTGAGGAGGAAGCCTCTAGAATCAGGTCACAGACCTCGGTTCACTCAGTGTTTGGTCTTTGTCACTGGTCACCTATTTCAGTAGACTGCAGCATGATACATAGGTAGCTTTTGTGGTATCTCGAAGAATCAAGTCTATAAATAAATGGCTCCTGGTTTTTACATGTCTACTTTGTGGTCATGATGGTATACAGTGGAAAAGCCTCCTTTGATGCTCGAGTTCAAGCTTTACTGTAGCATTAAAGCAATAATATACTCAAAAGTTTAACTTTTTTTGAGTGAAGTTGCTTTAGATGTGTTTTAATCATAACAACTAATTTTTCAGCTGATCACCTGGTAACTCGGTGTGTCATCCATGGTGGCTTCAAATAAATAGACTTGGGGTGTTTCTTTCCATACTAACAGTTATGCTGCTGTGTATAACTTCTTAGAAATTAAATTCCAAAGGTTTTTTTGTCCACTTTGGATTTGTACAGTAAACAATCTGACTGTCCCTTTCTGAGATGTCATGGGAAATAATGATTTACAAGAAGGAAGCAGAATGGGGTTGAAAAGCAGTAACAGCAAGTATCTTAGTTCATTACCAATGGAGTAATTGCCGCAATGCTTAATTCTGAGCAGTGATGTCTTGAAAAAAGGTAACAAAGAGTTTAAGCACTTCTCTGGAAAAAGAAAATAATATTGTATTCTGTATTTAAAAAAAAAAAAGAAAAAATGGTCTGATATTTGAATCTGACTTCTGTGCTGGAAGGCATTGTAGAATCAGGGATGAACTGATTTATTAGCATGGATTTATACAGAGGAGATGATGCTTAACAAATTTGATTAACTTCTTTTGAGGAGATGACAGTGAGAGCTGAGAGGGGTGAAGCAGTAGACTTAATCTGCCTGGACTTCAGGAAGGCTTTTGATGTAATACTGCATAAAAGACTAGTATATAAGGTTAGTAAATATGCTGTTGATGGTGAATTCTAAATAAAAAAAAAATACTTAATAGAAATTCAATTCTGTAGGATGAAATGTCATATAAATGTTGAATCCAGTTCTGTTCATAGTTTTCATCAATTACTTGCACTGTAGAATTGCAAACAGTAATGCCCAGCTTGTATAGCTCCTGTGTTTCTTTTTGTTTCTGGTCTGATATCTTCTATTTTGTAATGATTGATCACTTTCAGAAACAAAATTTGAGGTTTAATAATTAGCTAATAATTGTTTTCTCTGAATTATGTCTTTAGTGCTCCCTTTAAAGTACCTGGTTCAAAGGTGAGATCCACAAAACCAAAAATATTTCGAAGCCCTAGTAAGATAGACAAGCAAAATTGCAGGTGTTACTAACTGAAAAAAAATCCTGTAATATCTTATTTAAGAATCCAGTGTTGAAAATGGGAATTGCTACTTAAGTACTTACTGCAATGTTATAGATATTTCAAAAGATCTGAAAAAAGCTGTCTGTGCAGCAACTTGTATGTGCTTGAAAACAATTGTTAGAAAAGATGCTAAGTAATGCCGGAATTCTCTTGGAGCAGGAAGCTGTGAGTAAGGGAGCCAGAGGGAGTCAGTCTCTTTCCCATGCAAGTCAGTGACAGAAAGCTGGAGAGCTTTGAATGTTTTCAGTCACATGCTCAAACAAAAACCTTGAATAAGAAGATACAGAAATAAGTATTAAGACAACCTTTTCAATAGCTATGAAGAATAGGGAGATCAATTACGTTAGCCACATGGTTCCCAGCCTTTCATAATCTTGCAGATATTTTTTTCCCTCATGTTGATACAACACTGTTCATCTTCAGTTCTCTAGGGGAGAGAAGTTCGGTGTTTTTTCCTTGGGGTTTTTTTTGTTGTTGTTGTTTTTTTGTAAATTATTGTCGCTTAACATTGTCTCTCCTGGCATGCCTGAGCAAGAGATCCCCACGGCTTTTTTAATGGCAATTCTAACCTGATTTCCCGAAGGGAAAGTAGGGCAGAGATGTCAATGAACTGCTGTCGCGTAGGAGGACTTGGTAACTTTGTTCATCTCTCTTGGGTACTACCTTAAGGTCAATGCCTAGTGCCAAACATCCCCCTTGGGCCTGGCTAGGCATCCTGAGCAGAGATCCTGGTGTGTGGTCTCTGGTCAAACGAAATGGACTGGCACACCTCCCACCTTCTCAGCAGACTTTTTCAGTAGAAGAAACAACGAGCAGAAATTTTTCGCCATTTGTATTAGGGGCACTTGCTCCCTGTGACTTGACTGCACGTGTCCAGTTAATACAGTTACGGGCCCAAGCTACAGAAGTAGTGTAGGTGTTGTGCTGTGCTTGAAGCTTTTGTGAATATAACAAGTCAAGGACTTGATTAATGAGAAAACAATTCACAGGCTACTGTTTTATGTCTGACTTGTGGAAGAAGAACTTACACTTATTGCACTTAACATTTAGCACTAAACCCCTGAAGTGACACACAGGAATATGCAGCCAGCAGCTCTGCAGAGCCACAGCGTTCCTCGTAAAAAATATTCTGTCTACTGTCAGTTATATTGTAGACATGTGGAGATAGTCATTATCAGGGAGAAATCTTTTGGTCCAGTTCTTCAGGGAGCTGTATTGCAGTTTTTCTGTGCTGTGTATATATGAAGGTTTGGTATCAGATTTAGTAAAAGGGTCTTAAATTTCAAAATTAACTTCTTTGATTTACCAGAGTTCAAACTTTATATCCATGCTGCACAATTAGTCTCCCTTCATCCTGTGAATAACGTATTGTTTATAAAAAAAACCCCAAACTTCAGGGAATACATTTGCACAGTACTGATCATTCAGAAGGAAAACATATTTATGAAAGCTTAAAGCTCTTGTCCTAAAAGTAGGTTGAGCTGGTAGGATAAGCCACAAAAGTGGAAAGGAGAATCGAAGGGATGAAAAGCAGGGTTGCCTTAACACACTTGCTGGACATCAGAGATCAGAAAAGGCAGCAAAACCCAGGGCTACTGATGCAAGGGAAGGTCAGGCCTGGGCAAAGAGTTGCACAGATGCATTCCTGTTTTAATACCACTGTACGGGAAGCTAGCTAAAGGCTGGTTCTGCGTTAGTCCTCCAAAAAGCAACTAGCAGCATGGAAAAATTTATGTTGACCTTCAGAGCAGTAAGGGAAGGATGCGGATGTTTTATTTTTAAGTAAATGTTTTTGCTGCTTGGAAAGCAAAACATATTGATTGAAAGCTATTTGAATGATTTTTGGATAGCCCAAAATCAAAGCCCTCAGGAGACTTTTTCTTGCCCATAGAATTTAAATAGTGTAGGAGTAGCCTGGTCAGAGCCCTTTCATTGAGTTCCACGTCTCTGAAACTTCCAAAGGTTACACAGTGTCCTCAAGTGCACTGGGCTTCTTCAGCTTATTTCTGGTGTCTGGAGATGTAGCTTGAGTTTTGTCGTGCACTTGAGCAGTCAGGGTTTAGAAACTCCTATAACTAGGAAAAGCTTCTAACTTAGAGCTGACACCTCAAAGAAAGGAATTAATGATACCCACACATGAAAATATATTTTTGTTTTCAAGTACAATTAGTACATACTGGAAAGAGGAGTCTCACCCTTATGTTTTCATTCCAACACCATTCTTTTAAAAACCACATATAGGCAATGATTTCATGTGTTTCTTTTTCCTTAAAATAATTAATTTATATATGAGATGCACATTGCATCAAAAAAACTTGCTAACACATGGGTCTGTAGTATTTAACATAGTTGTTTTGATCATGCTTAGCTTGGAGCTAGGGAGCTTTTCTTGAGGCCATTTATCTGGCCAGACCGTGTTATAGTCTGTGTTCTGATGCAGTTCATCAATAAAATGGCATTTATAGATTGATGTTTTGTTTCCAATTCCAGGAGGAAGCCCTGAGGCGACAGCGTGAGCAGGAAATTGCACTAAGGCGGCAGCGGGAGGAAGAAGAGCGGCAACAACAGGAGGAAGCACTTAGAAGATTGGAAGAGAGAAGAAGAGAAGAGGAGGAGAGACGGCAGCGAGAGGAGTTAATTCGTAAACAGGTGAAAAATGGCAAAGGGGACCTATTCTGTTTAATTATGGAGGCTGCCAGAACGAGCAAGCTTTGAATTTTACTCCTGTGCCTGAGAGACCATAAGTTTTGGGGGAGGAAAGCAAAGCTTGTAGACAGTAGCAAGCAAATGAAAACTAGGTTCTTCACCTGTATCCTGATTGTGGATGAAGTAACCAGAATCTGATCCGCCCTTTGGAAAAGAGATTTGTGTTGAATTAGCATTTTCTTTCAGGTTTGAGCCTTAAGAATAGCTTTGCAGCATGGTAATTTCTACTCCTTTCTTCAGAAGAAGGCAGAATACATTACCAGAACAATAATTTGAGTTGCGACTCTCTGAGCCCTTACTATAAAATACTTATCTTTAACATCATCTGAGATGATCAGTTTTGTCCATCCTTCTGTACTACACCAAGACTATACCCACTATTAAAGTTGCGGCTTTTTTCTTCCTTTTTCTTGTCTTACTATTAACAGATTGTCTTTTTCCCTTGGGTTTGGCTTTAGAAGTCCATATTGGGGAACTTGAGCTTACAGCCCTCTGATTGATACTGCCACGGTCCCTAAATCAAATTAATCAAGATTAATTTGACATGATTGGCTTTACATTAACTTTTAGGTCCATTTCAGAATTGTCAGTTGTTATTTAGAAATTCCTTTTCAGGACCCTCCCTTTATAAGCCATTCATCACCAGCTCTGTCCCTTCACACAGTCGTCTCCTTTACTAGCAGAAGCATCTTTTCCTTTGCAACTCTAGTGTTGAGTAGCAACAGTAAACATCGTTTTGTCACATGTTTTCTTCTTTCATGTCAAAACCCTTCTCCCTTTATTCCTGCCCAGTTTTATTCTCCTGAAAGTGTAGCAGTACTTGGCTGTAAGTAGTGTGAGTAGATGGAAGCTCAGACTGAAAGCTGTGTTAACTCCTAGAGGAATCTGGTGTGAAATTAGTTAGTCTGAGCTAGGGACATGTCATTTTCTTCCAAGTTCCTCGGTTGAGCAATGGGAAACCTGTGTTTTTAGGTGATAAGAGGTATACTTATTGGGCTTTCTTGCCTGAGAAGTGTGAAGGTAAATGAACCTGAACAGAACAGATTGCAGATACCAAGGCCTGTCTCTGTTTCATTAGAATGTCAGTACCACAGAGGAGGAGTAGATTTAGACTAAGTCTGCTTAAACTTAATTTATCTTTGTCCTGGGAAGGAAGAGGAGGCTGCCAAGTGGGCACGTGAAGAGGAAGAAGCTCAACGGCGACTTGAAGAAAGTCGGCTACGCATGGAAGAAGAGGCAGCCAGGCAGCGGCTCGAAGAAGAAGAGCGAAAGCGCAAGGAGCTGGAACTCCAGCGCCAGAAAGAAATAATGCGACAGAGGCAGCAGCAGCAGGAGGCTTTACGACGGCTGCAACAGCAGCAGCAACAGCAGCAACTTGCACAAATGAAGGTAGTGTGTTTCTGCAGTTTGACTTGCTCTTCTCTGTAGGAAACAAAGCCACAGCTGGGGTCGGGGTTGTCTAGACTGGCTTGAGCAGAGCGGGGACAGCTGAACCATCTGGAGAGGGAAGAGGGTCAAGTTGACTATGACAGTGATGGGAGAAACAAGAGGAAGATAAGTTGCAAAATGAAAAAGGTTCAGTCAGTAGAAGTGTGCTGGAAAGGGGTTTGCATACGAACACAGATGTTTATTCTTCTGCAGTGAGCGAGGGCCAGTGGAAAGTTTCTCAAGCCTGGAGTTCCTGAAGTCTTTGAAATCCAAATTGCTATTTTTCAGGCAGTGATGTGTTGCATTATTCTTGACACACCGTCTTTTTGACACTATGATACATCAGAGGACATCTCAAAGAAACACACAGTTTATACTTTGTACTTATCCATACTTTAAGGATAAAACGGTACAATTTTGTTAAAATTTAAAGGTGGCCTTTGTTTTCCCCCCTGTGCAGTGGGCTTATTCAGGTTTTTCATGATGATACATCAGCAATATTCTCTAAAATGTTTTGTAATTAATGTGTGTTTTGTCCCAGCTCCCTTCATCTTCAACATGGGGTCAGCAATCAAATTCAGGAGCCTGTCAATCCCAGGCCACACTGTCACTGGCAGAAATCCAGAAGTTAGAAGAAGAACGGGAACGGCAGCTTCGAGAAGAGGTAAATACTAAGAGTAGATTCAACTATGTGACTGCCTAACTGTCAATTTAAGTTACTAGAAGGAGTAGTAAGGATGAGGAATGTTTTTTGAAATAGCCTAGCTCAGGTGAAATCTTATCTTTCAGGCATAGGTTTAGTAAGTATTTGAAAGTTTGTATAGCTTCTTAAATCAAGTATCTAGAAGGAGGGAAAACTGTACCCTTTTAACCTCAGGAGTGTTATATGTTCATAAAATGATATAAAATTATTTCACATTTATATTCCTAATATGTTTGCAGAGATACACAAGGCCAGGGCAGTTTAAGGAGGGATGGGAAACAAGTCATGGTAGGAGAGACGGTAATCTTCCAAGACCCCAAGTGCTTAGCTGGCTGCAGTTGTAATTTGACAAATTTATTCTGTCCTAGGCAAATAAACATTTTGTGTTTACTGGTTACTTGGTGTCTCCCTTTTTGCAGTAACTGTAGTGGCTCCAAAAATAATAGGTCAGCCTGACTCCTTCAGAAGAAAGGAAGATCAGTTTAAAACAGGTTTCCTAGCTAGATTTTTGAATAGTAATGATCTTCTGAAAGTGTGGACAAGGACTTTTGTCTTGCATGCTACAGCAAAGACGTCAGCAGCGGGAACTAATGAAGGCCCTCCAGCAACAGCAGCAGCAACAGCAACAGAAATTGTCAGGCTGGGGTAATGTCACCAAACCAACAGGCACCACCAAATCTCTGTTGGAGATACAGCAGGAAGAGGCAAGGCAGATGCAGAAACAGCAGCAGCAGCAGCACCAGCAGCCGAACAGAGTCAGAAATACTACGGTACGTAGGGTGTTTGTCTATTCAGTATGTGGAGGGAAACGGTACGCGACAGTTCTACGTGTCTGTTTGTTACTGTTCTGCCAGGTCTGGTGCTAGTAACTCTTTATTATGTTTCAACAGCACTCTAACCTGCACACCAGCATTGGGAATTCAGTGTGGGGCTCCCTGAACACTAATCCCAGCAACCAGTGGGCATCTGACCTAGTCAGTAGCATCTGGAGTAATGCTGATACCAAAAACTCAAACATGGGTTTCTGGGATGATGCAGTGAAGGAAGTGGGACCTCGTAACTCGACCAATAAAAACAAAAGCAATGCCAGCCTCAGGTAGGAATTGGGGAAGGAGCTTTTGCAAAGAAAGGCTACCACTCCTTAAATCATCACTTAGCAGTTATAACATCATCATGGGTTTTCACTTTTTTTTCCTGTGTCACTCAGGATCTGTTTTGACAACAGAAATACCTAATAGGTGACCATTCACTGTTTATTTTGTGACCTACTTTGAAAGTTAGTTGGTTCTTAAATGATGTTTGCGTCTTATAAACTAGCAAGTCTTATAACACTGTACTGTTTACGGTACTGTTGATAAGTCTAGTCATTTATAATTGATTATATGTTGTTTATAATTGATTGTCTGTGTGGTTTTTTTACCTCAGTAAATCTGTAGGTATTACAAGTAGACAAAACAAAAAGGTGGAAGAAGAGGAGAAGCTGTTGAAATTGTTCCAGGGGGTTAATAAAGCCCAGGATGGATTCACTCAGTGGTGTGAACAGATGCTTCATGCACTCAACACAGCCAACAACTTAGATGGTAAGAGGTGGGGAGGAATGTGAACAGTCTGCTGTGAGAAGCAATATCTGGTTTGTTTCCTGACCAAGGTAGTTCTGAGGGAAAGTAATGACATCAAAGTAATGTTTTTCATGTGGTCAGCAAAATGGCATCATTAAACAGTGGTCTGCAGGGCTGGCTGCTCATCATCTCTGGTTTTTGTTGGGTTGACTGTAACAGATCAGTGGGGACTGGAAATAGTTCTGAAGTCTGCCAGCCAGAGCTCTGCTGCGGGTTTTTGGTGCTCGAGGCAGCCTTGTCAGGCAGGTGGATGAGATCCGGGTCACTTCCAAGTGCAGGCCAAACGATCTTAGGTCCCTGAGCAAAACATTTTTTGTCGTGAAAGTGGTTGAGTTTTCTGCTACGGAGGGCACGCAGAGGAGTGCCCCCTCCGAGATCACAAACTGGTGCCTTCTTGTACCGAAGCACTGCAGGCATCCTGCTGCCTCCAGTGTGGACCAGTGCGAATCCTTGTGCTCCGGCATCTGCACGCTGCAAAGTTGTGGTTCTGTGGGACCCTTGAACCTGGGTGGGGAGCTGGTGGTGCTGCATGAGCCGGGATCATACCTCACACCACTGCAGTTCACAGCTTCCCTCCTCTTGGAGGAGAGGTACTGGAGGTAACTTGTTGGCCTCGTTTGGGATGTCCTGACAGGCTGTGTGTCTCGGCAGAGGCTCTGGCCCTGTGGTGCCATTGTGGGTCACACATCCCCAGTGAGCTTCCTCCTTCCAAGGCTACTTTGTGTCCTGGTGTCTTCCCAGCTTGTGATTTGCTTTGTTCTTCTCTACATTAAAATAAAATTCAGTGCCACAAAGTTAGTTTAAGGGGAAAAAAGATGGTAAAGAAGGCTTATGAGTGAGCCAGCTGTTGAACTTCAGCTGCCTGCAGGTCAGGTCACCCGCTGTGCAGTGTGATCTGTTGTGCTTCAGCCAAAAAGAGAGTGTCCTGCTGACAGCTCTGAGAAGAGTATTTCACATTTGCGCCTGGCACTAAGTTGGAGCTTTAAAGCTGGCAGGGGTTAAAGCTGATGGGGCTAACATACCCTTAGTATTGTCAGTTTATTTCTCCTTCTCATCACCTTAGCTGACTTTCTTATCCTTGTTCTGATTGCAGAATAGACAGAACAGTGCATCTTTATCGTAGGGAACTCGGAAGACCGAGCTGTTTGCCATGACTACTTGATTAGCAAATATTTGAAAGAGATCTCTGAAGTTTGTGTTTATCGTGTGCATTCCCTCACGGTCTGCCTTCTTCTTGCAGTTCCCACGTTTGTTTCTTTCCTGAAGGAAGTGGAGTCTCCCTACGAGGTCCATGATTACATCAGAGCCTATCTTGGAGATACTCCTGAGGCCAAGGAGTTTGCCAAGCAGTTTCTTGAGCGCCGTGCCAAACAGAAAGCCAGTCAGCAGCGACAACAGCAGCAGCAACAGGTAAATCTTACTCGCTGTGGTCCTTGGGGTGTAGAGGGGCTGTGTTTGAGTCTGAAGAGTCTTGAGTTTCTGCTGGACCTATAGGAGGACGAGCAGGTCGTGTGAAATGCAGAGAATTAAGCAGATTACAGATATTTCCTGCAGAATCAAGTTTCCTTTATAGCTAATAGTCAAGGCCAACCGTAGCTGAAGTAGTGTGTCGGGATGCTGACCCAAGCTGTGATGCAGCAGTGACTAGTGCTGTCACATGTGATGTAGAAGGTGCTTTTGTGTCTCTGAAGGTTTTCAATATAACTAAACTTAGTTGCCCTTTAATCTTGTACTTGCTTTGTTTTCTAGGATTCAGTGTGGGGGATGAACCACAGTTCGCTACATTCGGTCTTTCAGACCAATCAGAGCAACAACCAGCAATCCAATTTTGAGGCTGTACAGAGTGGGAAGAAAAAGAAGAAACAGAAAATGGTTCGCGCGGATCCCAGCTTGTTAGGTCAGTGTTTAATTTCTAGGAATTAATGTTTAATTTGGAAAAAGCTTTGTGGAGTGTAGAATTTGTCAGTTAAACTGCCTTTCTTCTTTTGAAGAAAAAGAAGAAACAGAAAATGGTTCGCGCGGATCCCAGCTTGTTAGGTCAGTGTTTAATTTCTAGGAATTAATGTTTAATTTGGAAAAAGCTTTGTGGAGTGTAGAATTTTTTGTCAGCCTTAAATAGGAATATAGAATTTGAGCAGAAAAGATTTTTGAAGTGTCTTTAGAACTTTTCAGTATTATTACTGTTTAATGACTTTTAAAATTCTACGTCAATTCTATGGAAAACTTTTGTCAGTCTTTCCCCTCGTAAAAAGGCCTCTTCAATACCTTGGTTATTACCTGGAAACCTCTAAGCAGTTGAAAGTTGTCAGTTAAACTGCCTGCCTTCTTTTGAATTGACCTCTGCTTACTTTAT